AGGCAGGTGAGTGATTAGGAGCCAGCGGTCCAGAATTGTGAGAGGGATGTCCAACTGCCGGTTTAGGCCTGATTCCCGGGATTGGGCCTAAACCGGTAGTTGGACATCCCCCAAGGGGTCCCGGATTGGAGAGGGTGCAGGCTGGGCTGAGGGAACCGCCTCCCTCCCCTCCCCCCGTGCACAAATTTCGTGCACTGGGCCTCTAGTATATAATAACATTCCTGAAATATTCTTTAAAAAGTCTTCATATTTACCTTCTATATCTAGGGAGAGTGAGAGAGGAGAAGGGACAAAGAATGATTTTATTTTCTTTCAGGCCAACTTATTTGAAAAACTAATATTATAAGCTACAAAAAGTGAAGGAAACATATTTAATGTGTGCTAGTAGGACTTGTATCTCTTAGCTTAATAGTCTGTACATTTTTGATGCACTGTATTATGGGCAGCAGCATGAAGAATTTAATGTTATATTGCAAAATGTTTGTGCTTAGTTTAGATGGGAGGTCAGTGTGATAAAGGAGAAAATCTAACAATTAACTGTGCTGTTTGTTTTGTCAAAATATGCTGCCCAGCTCTAGAGTTTCCGATTTTGGAGAAGAAAAATTGGTTGATACATCTCCACTATATCCGGAAGGATTATGAAGCATGCAAGGTGAGAGATTGAAATGATAGGCAGACTTTGGTTAGGCGGCTGACAGTGTCTGTCACACACAGTTTCTATCCCGCTAATAATGTATGAATTGCTGTTTTCCCATACTTGGTGTATTTGTTAGCCTTTGCTATGATAATGCTGCTTTAGAAACAACTTTAATTCTAATCGTCTCCAACAATAGACGTTTATTTATTGCTCATGGGCCGTCATATTGGCTGTGGGTTGGCTGGGTTTGACTACAAGTTGTGGGTCAGGTTCAGGTATGTTCCATGTGTCTTCTCATTTCAAGTAGAAAGTGGAGCCTGTATTTTGCTCATCAGAGTTTTTTCATATTTTTCTTAGCTTGACTAGATAGGTTTTAGGTAGGGGTTAGCAAAATTTTTCTTTAAGGGACCAGATGGTAAATATTTTAGGCTTTGCAGTCACAAATAGTCTCTGTTTTATAAACTTAATATTCTGTCTGTTTGTTTTTTGTTCTTTTTTTAAAAAATAACCTTTAAAACTATGAGAGCTGTTCAAAAATAGGCTATGCAGGTTAGATTTGGCCTGTGGGCTATAGTTTGCCAGCCCCTATTGTAGAATAAGTGGTCATAACAAGAGAGTTGAGATTTTAAAAAAATCTAAATGAACTACTTTATTAGTAATTATCCTGGATTCTTACATCTGCTCCTTGTTCATGTCTACCCTTTCTTAAAAATACTTGAAGGCATTTAATCATTCCTCAGAAGTATTTTTCTTCTTCTTTCAGGCTGTTATCAAAGAACAGCTTCAGGAGACCCAGGGGCTATGTGAATATGCTATCTATGTCCAAGGTAAGACATATATTTCTTTTCTTCTTGTTAGAGGAATGCACACTTTGCCTAGGTTTCTGGAAAAAGAGCAAACAACTTATGCTTAAATTCAAGTGAGTGTGCCGGAAAGGGTTTTTTTCAGTGTTGGTTTTTTATTTTATTTTATTTTTAAATACTGTGCTACATTTGCTTTAATTTATTTTTTATTTTTATTGATTTCAGAGGGGAAGGGTGAGTGAGAGAGCGATAGAAACATCAATGATGAGAGAGAAACATCGATCAGCTGCCTCC